TACGTAAATATATATATATATATATATATATATATATATATATATATGGCATAAATTACATAGCTTACAAAGGCTGAAATATGAGATATGAAAATAGTTGTGTTGGAGTAGTAGGGCTAAAAGTGATTTTCTTCTTTTCATATTTCAATTACATTCTTTTCATTTGTCTTTTCCAAAAGTCAATGTATAAGCTTAACTAAATGTGTATTGATTGATCATGATACTTCCTCCACAAACTTTGGAAAAGAATCAGATATCTGAAAAAGTTCTGAGTGACTTACCAGCTTAGTGTTCTAAACCATGGCAGGTCATAAGAACGATAGACTCTATAACCTATAGTGATGATTTCATGGAAGCATTTCACTTGGATGCTCAGAACCTGAAACCAAGATAAAATATCAATATATGTTTCTCAATACTTACATTTGTTCTTACACATTTTATAATGTAGCTTATTGTGCAAATATATACCTACATATATTATATATATATAAATTCATCATACCTACTTTTAATTATTCTAAATGTCAAGCAGAAAATTCAAGTCAAGTCCCTAAAACCAAGTAATATCCCAAAAGGTCAAGCAAAACTATGTTTTATTCCAAAGGTTTGTAAAATCTTTCCTTGAGTGAGGGGTGGTGCTGTAGTTTAAATTTGAGGGATAGTCTAGTTGGTCACACTTGAATTAATTTTATCCATCACTACTACTTCTTTATTTTCTTGGGATTTTCCATTGGTTACTCTAGGAAAATAATCATATATGAAAGTATGCTTTTATAGCTTTATTTTAACCATAATTTCAGGTTTATTTTCCAAGCATAAAGATACTGTTAGTACAAACATCGAAAACGTCTTCCGTTCAGTCAACCAGGAGTTGGCATGGTCCTTTCATTCTCTAGCTGCACCGATTCCTGCATAGCCAACTGCTTTGCTGATGAATCTAAACTGTATTAAACATGGCAAATTATAAGCACCTTCTGCACTTCTTGACAACTTTGGCGAGTCAACTGAGTTTATGCAGTTCTGTTTGCAGTGTCCTAAATATATATTTAGGAGCTCTGGTAGCATAGTGCCTAAGGCACTTGACTGCTAACCAGACGGCTGGCGGTTCAAACCCACCAGCCACTCCTCGGAAGGAAGGTTGGGCAATCCTACTTCCGTAGTGATACTGCCTCGGAAACCCAAGGAGGGGTCGCTATGAGTCGGGCCGACTCGACGGCATATAACAACAACAACAAATATATATTTAGAAAATGGGTTTGTACTAAGGGATCGCTCACCTCTTTTTTTAATTGTTGAAAATATACACAGCAAAACATACACCAATTCATCAATTTGTACGTGTACAAGTCAGTGATATTTACATCCTTCAAGTTGTGCAACCATTCTCACCCTTCTTATCTGAGTTGCTTCTCCTCCTTTAACATAAACTCATTATCCCCTAAGCTTCCTATCCAAATTTTCCAGTTGCTGTTGTCAATTTTATTTCATAGAGATAGTTCTCTAAAAAAGCACAATCCTCTAGACAGACTTCCCTTACCAATAAGCGAAACTACTTGGTTTAAAGAAGATTTTAGGGGATATTTTTGGTTTGAGGCTTGAAGATTATTTCAGGGTAATAGTTTCAGGGGTTCACCCAGCCTCAAGGGCTTCAGAAAGTCTAAGGCTCTGAAATTCTGTTAGGGATCACTTTTTGATGGCCTGTTTAGAAGTCCTTCAAACTGCTGCAAGGTTAAGGTAATTTCTAAAGCTATAGTATCATAGCCACTGCTTGACTTTAGTCAATTCCAAGACTCAAAGAGCAAACAGCAAATTGAACACTTATTGTGAATGTAACAGACTAACATTTTAAACCTGTAGAGAAAATACTCAAAGGCCTGTTTTTGTGCAGTTGTTGAACTAAAAATGGATTTAAAATTTTATTGTTGTTGTTGTTGTTGTTGTTGTTATGTGCCGTCGAGTTGGACCCAACTCATAGCGACCCCTCCTTGGGTTTCTGAGGCGGTATCACTACAGAAGTAGATTGCCCAACCTTCCTTCCAAGGAGTGGCTGGTGGGTTTGAAACCGCCAGCCTTCTGATAAAATACAAAAATGTTTTGTATTTTTAATAAAAACTTAAAAAACAAAAACTATATGACAGAGATATATATGGCCCTTCAAAACCCTAAAATATGTACTAACTGGTCCTTTACCATTCTCATTCATTCCATTCTGGCTGTACCATTTCCAGTACTTTAGTTTCCCCACCCTTTGGGATTGCTTTTGAATAGCCCAAGATTTCCACAAAATAGCTTTCCTAAACCTATACCAATTACTTGTGAATCAAATACTTCCAAAAATATCAATGTGGTCCCTCAGCCACATGATAAAAAATAATTACATCAAACTATTACAAATAGTACATTTAAGAAAAAGTCTTAAACGTATTATAAAGAGCAAGAAAATTTAAATATTGTCCTTCAAATAAACTTTATGTATAACATCAGACGTTGTTTTGTTTTTACAGAAATAGTCACAGAATGGAAAAATGCTAGATGCAACAATAAAATAGCAAAGCCCTGCTATTTCTAGAACCAAAGGGGCTTTTAAAATATTAAGGGCACTGATGCAATTTCTTAAGAAATTTGCTTGAGAATCAACATTAGCACTTGGTTCTTTATACAGAGGGGAAGAAAAACCTATTTTAAATAGCACATGCATATATTTATATGATTATCAATTATAGCTTACAATGGATCTTCTGGAAAACAGACCATAGAGGTATCAAAATACTCCTGGCAGGAGTGTAAATCTGTAGGACTCTGGTGGTTCAATTATTTAAGAGCCTTAAAATTAGCATCCAACTAATTAGCATTAGTAAACAAAATGCTTACTGTATGCTAGTAAGTGAGGATACAGAGAAATAATACAGTACATCTGTTCTCAGAGAGGTACAGTCTATCAGGAAGGAAACACACAACTACAGTACTACGTGACAATTGTCCAATGGTTACAAGCATAAGCAAACAAACCTGTCGGAAGCATGTAGGACAGAGGAGAAGGATATGCAGAGTCAAGTAGGTTAGAGAGGATGAGTTTATGTAAGTAGGATGAGAACGAGGGAATTCCAAGTCAAGCAGAGATGTTGGAGCACAAAGGTGCAGTGAGAAGTGTAGAGAGATGAGGCCTGATTACATAATTACAGAAAACAGCATGAAGAATGCACAAAGAAGGTGAAATGACAGGATCAGATGTAAATATTAGGGGAAAAAAGAAGTGGGAAAAACTGATTGAAAAGCCAGCATAGAGACAGACAGGCAAGGGGACACCTTGTATTGATGAGCACCTAAATAAGGACAGTGGCAGACGGGTGGAAGACAAGCCATAAGCAATACTGAGGAGGCAGAACTGACTAAATTTGGGGATTGAAGAGATTTGAAGGGGGTGATGAGGGAGAGGAGGGAACACAAAATAACTCAAGAAAGACTTGGGAAAGTAGACAGATTCTGCCTGCAGAATATGTGGAGGATGTAATATAAATTCAGATTTGGACATGATAAGCTTGACTATGGGTCATCCAAGTAAAAGCATCTACTTCCTTCTGCTTTAGGAAATCTAGTCTAAGAAAATAATACAACACACCAATAAAGCTTTCTGCTCTGATCTGTTCAGGATTGTGCACTTTACAATAAAGAAAAGCCAGAAAACAAGCTGGACGTCTACAAATAACAATGGTTTGAGTAATGAAAGATGTAGTGTATTCCACCATGTAGATACATCTATTGAAGCTAGTAATTATAAAGAACAGAAAGCAAAACAAAATATTTGATATGATACTTAGTTTAGAAAGTAGGGTATGCATTTTAGTCACATTATGATTAAAACCATGAATTTTAAAACACAAAAGAACAAAAAGGATAAAAGGAAATATATCAAATGGTAGTGTTATGGATTGAATTGTATCCCTCAAAAATACATGTTAGAATCCTAACCCCTCTATACCTGTGGACGTCATTTGGGAATGAGGTTTCCTTGTTTTGTTAATGAGGTCATATCAGTGTGCAGTGTGTCTTAAACCTAATCATTTTAGGGATGGAAAAAGCTGGAAAAGCAGATTAGGCACCAAGATAAGCTAGAACAGACTGGGAAAGACAGAAACACATGTAAGGATAGCCACAGTACCAAGCAATGCAGGGGCTACAGAAGCTGAGAAAAGGATTCTTTCCCCCAGAGCCGATAGAGAGAGCCTTCCCCTAGGGTCAGTGTCCTAAATTCAGACTGCTATCTCCTAAACTATAAGAAAAAATTCTGTTCTTTAAACAGAAACCAAAACCAAACTCACTCCCCTCCTTGGGTTTCTGAGGCGGTATCTCTATGGAAGTAGATTGCCCAATCTTCCTTCCGAGGAGTGGCTGTGGGTTTTAACCACCAGCCTTCTGGTTAGCAGTCAAATGCCTTAGGCACTACACTACCAGAGCTCCCCCTGTTCTTTAAAGTCACCCACTTACAGTATCTCTGTTACAGCAGCACTAGGAAACTAAGAGAGGCAGTATTAATTGGATTTTACTGGTTAACGATAAGGTTGATGCTAATCTTTAAAGTTAAGTTTTTTGCAAAGTATTTTACATATATTTTCAACTCTCACAGTGGGGGAAAAAACTAAACACACTATTTAAATTAAATTATGTAAGTGAACTACTATTCACTTATATATAATTATTATAGGAGCTTCCAAGAAGGTGAGGAGGGGAGTTCATGCAATGTCTGTTATATGTTCACACTTGCCTTTAAGCTAAAATATGCTTTAATAACTCCATCACTTAGAAAGTGTGATTCTAATCTGTGAACACAGCAATTAAAGTGCTATAAATAAAAAGATGAAGGGAAAAAAAGCTCCTTTCATTTTAAGGAGCATGAGTGCCATCTAAAATAGTAGCTATCATTTCCTAGAAATAAGTTTCTAATAAAATAATCTTGAATTAGTCTTTTTTGGAGTGCTGATACTGTAATGCAAATGCAAGCTAGACTGAATATGTACTTCTCAAAATATAAATGATCCACTTAGGGGTATTAGTGGAATTATGATTTTTAAACACATAAAAGTAATATCAATTGAGTACCAACAGTGTGTGTGTGTGTGAAAAACTGTATAGATACTGTAATTTCTTAATACCAATATAACACATATGTGTATGTATGTTTGTGCATACATATACAGTGAACTTAAATAAGAGCAGTAACAGTTCAAATCTACTTTAACTAGATCTTTAATTTTTTATATTCGTCTCTGATTAAATTCAGCAATCAAAGTAAACAAAACTATATTTTCCTTTCATAGTAGAAAAAATACACACACAAAAAAAGCCCTCAATTGTTTTAGGCATGCTATGATACTCTTAAATATATATATATATATATCACATATATCAGAGTCCAAATAGACAAGTATTTCTTTAAAAGTATTCTGAATTATATCATCAAAAAAGTGGTTAAAAAATAGTCTTCATCTATAAATTCTTTCCCTAGTTATCCCATCAAACAGTTTAGTTTGGAGAAAAATGTAACAACTTAATTACCAGGGAACCCACCAAGCCAGCTTTAGTCAGAGTATCTTCTAAAGGTGAGCAACGACTCAAATGTTCCCCAATATTTTCAATGCTTTCCAAATAAAATTCGAACTTCTTCATATAGTATTGCAAAGCCTTTAGGGAATTGATTCCTAATATCTTTCTAGGTTTAAGGCCCTGTGCTCCCAGAAAATGGCATTACCTGTCTCTTTCTGCCACAACTAGCTGTTTGGACCTTTGCTTACAGCGTTCCGTCCATTCTGATAGATTCTTCAAGGTCCAACTCAAAGGTCCCTTTATCCACAATCCTTCCTGAGTTCCATGCCCGAAGCTTGGACCCTTCTTCCCAGGCCCACCCACTCACAGCACAGCACTGAAAAGCAGTGTGCACACACATTCCCTGTTTAAATCCTCCAGCAGAAATGCAAACAGTCATTTCAGCCCCCAGCAGATTCAAAACCGAGCAGAGTGGGAGCTGGGGGCACTTACCTTAAATCCACAGACAGCTCCCCACACCTGTCTACCTGCCTTTCAGACTCTGACCTCACACTAAAACTTGGTCCTGTTCACTTCTATTCTTCCTTTGTAAGAAAAAAAAAAAAAATTTTAAATGTCAGCAAATTAACAAACCAGAGAAAATTATTTCCTATTCATTTTTGTTTACTCAAAAGGCAGTCAAAATTAAAGGACAAAAAGAAAAGTGAAACAGGCTTTGTGATGCTTATAAGAACTGCTTTCAAAGGTTTCCAGGATTGATGGCATTTTTTTTTAATTCTGTCTAATTTCACTTCAAACCCTATTCTTTAATAAAATGAATTTTAAATGTTATCAAAGGGCCTATAAACTTATCAGTGCCTATAAACTTATCAGCTATGCACAGGATTCATAGGAGAGAGGAAGAACAGCCAACATGGGTAAATACATCCCTAAGGTGGGCAAGAGCAACTGGAGGACAGGGAGGTCAATGTGTAAGAAAAGGCTGAAAAAACTTTAAAAGAGAACCTTAGCGAATATCCCGGAAAGCAGGCTTGCACTCTTCACTGCAAGCACTATGCTCTACACAGAGTGAATGGTAGGTTCGTTGAACAATGCATTTCTCCTTCTCAGTCCCACCACATTGGGCTTCAAATGTTTTATGCTTTTTTAGACATCAGGGCTTTTGTAAACAGGAAGTCCTGCTTGTGACACTCCACCCCCACCCCCAATCTCATCCATTCCCCTCACTCTCTCCCCTCACTCTCTCTCCTCACTCTCTCAGCTATGAGCTCATAGCTCATATGCTTGGTACAATGCTGCTGGAAAGTTCTCTCAGTTCCCCTTTAACTCTCAGAGCAACCTAGTCTTTTTTTCAAATGCTAACTGTAGTTCATAATTATATACCTGGTCAATTCTCTCATGTGTAGGCAAGAAGCTCAGTGAGGGCAGAGACAGGTAAGTCTTTGTCCGTACTACCATATCATACTAGAACTAGGGCATTACCTGGTACACAGTAGGCATCTGGAAACATTCATTAAGAGAATGAATTAAGAGCTTAAAATACTTGTTTGGCTTCAATACTTGGGCTTCCTATACACAACAAAATCCAGCAGAATGACTTCTACTTGCCTCACCAGCCTCATCCCAAGCACTGTCCACATGTACAACTAGCCATGGACCACATTTTCTCATTATTTCTGTATCTTTCCCATGATGCTCTGTATCTTTCCCATAATGCTCCCACTTATAATGCCTTTTTCAGGACTTGGCTTTGTTGTCACCTCTTCTGGAAGCCCTTTCTGACCTCTCCTCCAAATTGGATCAGGTGTCTTTTTTTTTTTTTTTTTTTTACCATGTCCTTCTAATAAGTTCTATTATAGGACTTACCCCACTTATTTACTATAGCATTTATTCATGTGGTTGCTTGTGTGTCTCTGCCACTAGATTGAGTTCCTTGAGGTCAGGGTCCAGCTAATGGTCATACATGTTGAAGCTATGTGTGTGTATGTGTGTGTGTGTTTCTGTTATATCTAATACTTGGTACAATGTCTGACACACAGTAGATGTGTATCTATTATGTATATTTGCTGTCTGCTGAATGAACAATTTGAATGGCTACTGTACAAATGGAAAGGATTAGTCCAGATCATTTCATGAACCAAAAGACATTTACAGGAACTAAATTTGCTGCTACCAACTATCAAGTTTTGAATTACTTCTTTTTTGTGACATTCAAATTACATCATTCATATATATTTTTTGGAAAACAAAGCTAGAGACACTTAGAAAACTGTAAACAGACTTACTAGAAGCATCAGCATAAAGGATCCCATATAGATGATCAGGAAAAATAATGAAATCATAGTTAGAGTAAGAATTCCACGAATCCACCAGTTTTTCCACCTATAAAGACAATGTTGGTAACGTTACCATTTCATGTTAGGATTTCATGTTCTTAAAAGTTTTCTGCATGCTTTCAGTAGTGAATTCAACTTATAAATTTGCTCTACTACATCTTAAGAATCCTCTATTTTATTTTGTAAAATAACAACTAAAAACAAAAAAAAATTAAAAAATTCTTCACCCACTGGGAGCTATTTTTCTAAAATTATGTTAACCAAATAAACAAAATATTTTCTAAAGCATAAGAATGGAAATGAATCATGAAGTTAGGGAATTAGGTAGCCAATGTGGATTGGTAAGTCACACACTCCCTCACACGGAAGGGAAGAACAAGCCAAGTGCAGGAATTCTCTAAAAAGATAAAGGTCATTCTTTTAGGGTGATAGATAAAAACAATAATGATTATAAACCCACTGCCACCAAACTGATTCTGATGCACAGTGATCTCCCATTGGCCTTCCAAGGCTGTAAATCTTTACAGAAGTAGATTGCTTCATCTTCCTCCCACAGAGCAGCTGTTGTGTTTGAACCACCAACATTCTTCTTACCATCCAAATGTGTTATCCACTACGCACCAAAGCCCCTTAGTAATGATTATAAGAAAGTTTAATAGACAATGGCCTTTTAATGAAAAAAAATAATGAAAGATCAATATGGAACTCACACCGGAGAGCACAGTGATTTCCATGAAATGAAGAAGGAACGAGGTGCCTGGGATCTAAGACGTCAGTCACTGAGGACAAGGCCAGATCTACTGATGCTTCCTTTTATTGCTCAAAGTGTGCTGACTGCCTTCCTTGATTAGTGGCAGGGGGTTTAGTAGGGAGTACTTATTCTTGACCTTTGCTTGTTCCTTAGAGCAGAGTTTCCCTGCTGGCATGCTCCATGGGTTCCAGGTATGCTGAGGATTAATCACCCTCAGCCCTCAGGTAAGGGCTTGGGGTGCCCAACTGTCCTCCTCCCCAGAAGCCTCACCCTTCACCTTCAGTATTCATAGAAATACCAAATATTACCATTCTTTATGTTGCCACATCATGGAAAATGTTGGAGGCCACTGGAAAATCCAAGATGACTGAAATAACACTACATAGATATCGATTACTGAAATCTACAACTCCTTCTCCATGTTTCTACTTACTCTACCTTCAATACTATGTTATACTCACATAAAATGTGTTTTCTTAAACACTTTTCTAATTTTTGTTAATTCAAAAGATAGCATTTTAAATATCATAAGAGATTCTGATTGAACCATACAGTAACATATATGTACTGTACTCTAAGCATAGATTCTCAGTCTCTCCCTATAACAGAGTATTATTCGTTTATCAAATTTATGAAATATTTATTAAACTCCTTGTTTTTCAGCATTCTCCCATATCATCTAGATAATGCAAAAAAACCTACTCATTTTCAAATGTCCTTTTCATCATATCATTCTTGCACTCAAGAATCTAAAATGCCAATGACATTAAATCCAAATTCTTTTATCTAGCTTCCAAGGATTCTCATGAGATAGGCAAATTGTACTTACCCAACTTTATTGTCCTCTACTGACTAACAAACTATGTAGACTCATAAGTTTCTTGTATAGCAAAGAGATGGAAACAATCTAAATGCCCATCAATGGATGAATGGATAACCAAATTATGGTACATTCACACAATGGAATATTGTGCTACATAATAGAACAATGAAGGATATGCAAATCATCTCACAACATGGATGAGCCTGGGGGACATTATGCTGAGTGAAATAAGTCAATCGAAGAAGGACAAATATTGTATGAGTCCATTACCGTAAAAAGACAAAGAAGGATTTGCTTAAGGAAGGGAACTCACTTTTGTAGGTTACTAGGGTGGGGAGGGAAAGGGAGGAATTAATTTTGGGCTACTTGGGGGCCACACACTGATGTGGATAAGAGGAGGGATGGTACAGAAAGAGTCTGTGACCACCGTGACAACATTGGGGAAAGGGAAGCCACCAAATTGTACACATAAGATATAAACAACAGAGGCTAATACAGTATATCCACAATACTGCATTACCATTAACACCAAACACCAGGCTACAGATAAACACATAAACATCTGAGAAGATTAGATGGGGGTCAGTGAACAGGATTATACTCTAGACCAAGGATACATTCAGCTGAGGCTAATCTTGCACAGACACCAGTGATACAAAATGCCTCCAGTCCTTACAGAAACAACAGAAGACAGACATAGAGCAATCCCTCACAGACAGCCAGTCACTATGGGAGAGAGACCCAACAGATCTACCGACTCAGGACCATAGTACTGGGGGACACCAGACTCAACTGGCACAATAAAATACATAAAAAATCTTGTTCCACAACCTACGTTGGTGAGTAGTAACTGGGGTCTTAAAAGCTTTCAAGCGGCCATCTAAGATGCAGCTAATGGTCTCCTATCATTGGAAGTAAAGAAGAGTGCAAAAAAACAAACAAACAAAAAGACATTTGGAAGCAATCAGTCCCTAGGAAATGATGGAACTCGAAACCAGAAGAACTACGTGGTGCCTGGCTACTAGTGCCAACCACTTGGGAAAGGATCACAACTGGAGATCCTTTATAGAGTGGGAGGAAAAATGTGGAACAAAATTAAAAAACACAATAATTACCAGAATTACTGGTCAGATGGGACCCCCAATACTTTGGGCCTGGTGGGACCCCCAATACTTTGGGCCTGGAATAAAACTCACTTCCAGGGGCTGGCTCTCATCCCAATAGTAAACAAGATGTACATGCAGACCACTCAACCCAGGGTGACACACTCACATACTCTATGGAGATGCATCCCTTGGAGCATGGGGGACCAGAGGGGCAACATTTTAACAGAGGAAATGCAAGACACACAGACACACAGGAGTGCATAACTATGAGGGGCATGGGGGCAGGGAGTTACTGGGCAGGGAGGGGAGGAGACTGGGTTAGGGTCGGGAATGGTAATTGGGGAGTGAAACCAAATGTACATGAAATGTCGAATGTAAAACTGCTCTGTAAACTTTCACCTAAAGTACAACATAAATAAATAAATAAAAAGAAAAAAGAATGAATTGAGGTAGAGTTGAAAATGCTATAGCTGAAAGGTTCCATTTAGTTTTAGATACATAACTATTTATTAATGAAAGGATTAGGAAATGGAACTAGGTCACTGAGCTGAGCAGAGGTAAATAAAGAACTATATAATCCAGGCTCCTGATATTGATCTTGTGTTACTTGCAAGAAATCCAAATCCTCAGACTCTTAAGAATTATATCTGATAATCAGAGTCTGAGAATTATTAAGGGCCTCTCCTAGGGAAGAACACTTAAGCAACAGCAATCATTCCTCAGCTGGGTGTTGCCTCTGTCTGTTGTTGTTGTTGTTATGTGCCCTCGAGTCAGCCCTGACTCATAGCGACCCCTCCTTGGGTTTCTGAGGCAGTATCACTATGGAAGTAGGATTGCCCAACCTTCCTTCCGAGGAGTGGCTGGTGGGTTTGAACCACCAGCTTTCTGGTTAGCAGTCAAGTGCTTTAGCCACTATGCTACCAGAGCTCCCTGCCTCTGTCTAGGCACTTCTAATGTTCAATGTTTGGTTCTGAGTTTCAGAAAAGTGGTAACTGCTGAGATCTGTAGGTTTTAAACAAGTAACCTACTCTCTTCATTGTCATCCAAAAACTCCATTCAAAAATCCTAAAACTGGGCTCTCAAGGAATATAGTCCATCTGGTTTTCTTTTATTAAATATTTCCCCTTCCAGAAAAATTTCCCTTCCCCAAACAGATCAAGACCTTAATTTCACTTTTAATTTAAATGACTCTCCTCAAAGCCCCCAAGAATATCTAATGCAAAGTTAGGCACATAAAAGATGAATGTATAATTTAATATAACTTTTATATTCCGTGATACTGCAACTTAAAATTATCTTTCAGGGGAGAAGTACTGAATTCAAAATAGAGCATGATAGGGGATTTTTTAACTAAAATCCAGAGGACAAGTCTGGCTCTGAATTAAAAAAAAAAAAAAAAATCTCGATTTCCTTTACCATGTTACAATGGTCACGTCAGAGAAAGCCTTAATTTTAGGTTCAAATCACCACACCAAAGTTCTATCTCTTGGACTACTTTGTATTTTGCATAAAGAAACTCAAGAATTAATAGGGAAGAATTTCATTCCTAATGTCGCCAGGACCCATATGAGCTAGGAATGAGATTTTTTTTTAAGTCTAAAATTAATCATTTGGGAGCTCTGGTAGCATAGTGCCTAAGGCACTTGACTGCTAACCAGAAGGCTGGCAGTTCAAACCCACCAGCCACTCCTCGGAAGGAAGGTTGGGCAATCTACTTCCACAGTGATACTGCCTTGGCAACCCAAGGAGGGGTTGCTATGATTTGGGTCCAACTCGACGGCACATAACAACAACAACACAATTAATCATTTACTTTAAAACTAATTTTCTTTAGTAGTTACATACTTATTGTTCAAATCAGTTATGTGGTACATAATGCTTTATTATTACTACAACTATTAAATGTTTTATTTACTTTAAAAGCATTGGGAAAAATGTTTTAAAATTATTTTCCTAGAGGTACAGTCATCATGAGTCATCAAGAACACATGTTGGGAGGGCAGTCATCAGAATTAGGTGCCAAAATTAGGAGACAGAGGTACTCCCCAAGAACAAATAGGAACTTAGAGGCCCGTGTGGTAGAGAACAGGTTTAGGAAAGTCCACCTACCAGCTTTTGGAGGAATTGGACAGGAAGCATGCAGGTTCCCAGAGAGAAGGAAGATAACAATATAAAATATGAAACTATGTCTGGATGTTTCCGTGGTTTCTAGGTCCATAGGTGGTGCAAACCGTTTGCTCTTGACTACCAACTGGAAGGCTGATGGTTCCAATTGAACCAGTAGCACCATGGAAGAAAGGCCTGCTGATCCACTTCTGTAAAATTACAGCCATTAAAAGCCCTATGGAACAAAATAATTTTCCTCTGAAATACATGTGGGTCACCATGAATCAGAATTGACTCGATGGCAACAGGTTTGGTCAACTTTAGCACTAATAACACAGTTGGGACCAGATAATTCTTTGTTATGGGGGGCTGTTCCATGATGTTCAGCAGCATCCCTAGCCTCTGCCCCACTAGATGCTAGTAGCTCCCTCATCTTGCATGATGTATAAAGTCTCCAGATATTGCCAAATGTCCCCTTTTGGGGTTGGGGTGGTAGGGAATTGCCCCTATATAAGAACCACTGACCTAGACTCATGGCTAAAGAACAGCTTCATTAAAGGATTGAGCTCCAATTAACTGGCTGATGTACATTCCACAGACCACACACAGGTCCAGAAGAAGTCAATTGGGGCAGTCAACTTGCCAAATGACTGAAGACCTTTCAGACTCTCTTCTATTCGAACGCTTATGCTTTTGTGGGACATTATATATTAAAGTCTTAAAAATGAGTATAAACCTTCCCGCAAGCAAGTTTAATTGTAAGATTTTATTCTAAGCAAATAACTAGGGATGCTAAAGTAATTAAGCTACAAAAAAAATGTTTAACGCAGAATTATTTTTTTTGGAATATTTAGAAATAATCTAAATGCCTGTCAACACATGGTTAGTTCAGTAAGTGAACTATAGTCATACAACAGGATATATTATGCAGTCATTTAATATGTTCCTGAGGTATATTTAGGTGCCATTGAGTCGTCTCCGACTCATAGTGACCCTTCACACAGCAGAACGAAATACCACCAGGTCCCACACCAGCTCCATGATCCCTGCTATACTTCAGCCCATCAACACAGCCACTGTGCCAATCCATCTCATTGAGGGCCTTCCCCGCTTTTGTCGACCTCCACCTTAGCAAGTGTGACATCCTTCTCCAGGGAATGGTCCCTTCTGATAACATGACCAAAGTAGGTGAGATGAAGTCTGGCCATTCTCGCTTCCAAGGAGCATTCCGGCTGCACTTTTGTCTAGGACAGATCTCTTAGTTCTCCTGGCAGTCATGGTACTTTCAGCATTCTTCGCCAGCACCACAACTCAAAAGCATCAATTATTCTTCGGTCTTCTGTATTCATTGTCTAGCTCTCACATGCATATGAGGCAATTGAAAATATAATGGCTTGTGTCAGGCTTACCTTAGTCTTCAAGGAGACATCTTTACTCCTCAGCACTTGAAAGAGGTCTTTTGCAGCCTACTCGCCCAGTGCTATATGTCTCTATGTCCTGACTGCTGCTTCCATTGGTGACAATTATAGAACTAAGCAACGTGAAGTCTTTGATAACTTCAGTCTTTTCTCCATTTATTGTGATGCTGCTTATAGGTCCATTTGTGAGGATTTTTGTTTTCTTTATATTGAGATGTAATCCATACTACAGACTGTATTCTTCAATCTTATCAGTAAGTGCCTCAAGTCATTCTCACTTTCAGCAAGCAAAGTTGTGTTGTCAGCATATCACAGGTTGTTAATGATTCTTCCTCCAATCTTGATGCCACACTCTTCTTCACATAGTCCAGCTTCTGGGATTATTTGCTCAGCATACAGATTGAACAAAAATGGTGAAAGGATACAATCCTGATGCACTCCCTTCTTGATTTTAAACCATGCAGTGTCCCCTTGTTCTGTCCAAACAGAGGTATATTTAAGGACAAGGAAAGTGAAACTCACTGCTATCACATCAGTTCTGACTGATAGTGATCCTATAGGACAGAGTAGGACTTCCCCAAAGGCTGTACATTTTTATGGAAGCAGACTGCCTCATCTTTCTCCCATGGAGTGGCTGGCGGGTTTGAACCACTGATTTTTTGGTTTTCAGCCTTAGCTACTGAACAACCAGAGCCCCTTAAGACAAGGAAAGATGCTCCTACTATAATATGGAATGAAAATAGCAAGACAGAAAACCATGTAATTCCATTTTTATTATTTCATATTTATTATATTACATTTGCACAAGGGAAAAAAGCTTCAAAGAGTAAAGACCAAAATATTTCAAATATTTATAGCTTGGTGAGAGGATTATAGACGTTTTCCCCTAATTCATGTAAATTTCTTATGTAATCAGTAATTTTAATCCTATGCTTCTACAACCTCTCAGTGCTTGCAAAACACTGGTATCCAATACCTATTTTGGGTATTGGATAAAAAGACGCTAGCATGAATAAAAGAGGCTGTCCCGGAGGAAGTACAGCCAGAATGCTCTTTGGAAGTTAGAATGGGCAGATTTTGTCTCACCTACTTTGGTCATATTGTCAGAAGGGGACCATTCCCTAGGGAAGGATATCATGCTTGATAAAGCGGAGGGTCAGCAAAAAAGGGGAAGGCCCTCAACAAAATGGATTGACACAGTGGCTGCAATGATGGACTCAGATAGAGCAAAGATTGTGAGGATGGCAAAGGCTAGGCAGTGTTTCCTTCTCTTGCACAAGTGCCTCTGAGTTGGAGCTGACTCGATGGTAACTAAGAACAGCAGCATGTATAAGGTATGTATTTTTCAACATTTGTGTAACTTTTTTAGTTTTTTGAGAGGATTGAAACTGGCCACGTATTATCTATTGCTCTGTTCTTTTCTTTCTTTCTTTCTTTTTTTAAATAATTATCTTCTAAATAGCATAGGGTAAGAGCACAATCATTAAAGCTGTGATGCCTAGGCTCACAGTGTACCTTCATCTCTTACTAGCTTGACATATAACACCTTTGTGCCTCAATTTCCTCATTTATAAAATAGGTACATAACTGTATCTGTGTTTCATAGGGTTACTGGGGAATTAGTCAATACATGCAAAGTGTTTAGAGCAGTGCCTGCACATAGTATCATTCAATAAATATTGGTGACTTAGTGCCTAAGGAAGAGCTCTGGTAGTGTGGTACCTAAGGCACTTGACTGCTAACCAGATGGCTGGCAGTTCAAACCCACCAGCCACTCCTCGGAAGGAAGGCTGGGCAATCTACTTCCATAGAGATACTGTTTTGGAAACCCAAGGAGGGGTCTCTGTGAATCAGAATTAACTCGACAGCAGTGAATTTGGTGGGTGTTTTTTTTTTTTTTTTTGGTATTATTTGCTATTGTTACTTTGTATCAGAAAATTAAAAATAAAAAACCTTCTAAAGAAGATCTTACTATGAAGAACACACAAGAATCCAGCATCATTCTTACATACAAAAAGTTTAAGTTTTGAGATGGACTTTTACTGATGAGATTTTCAAGCAAAGACACATCTGTGACCTAGGTCAACAAAACAATTGTGAACAACTAAAATGATAATCATGCTGTAAATAATGGACAGTAAAAATGTGTTCTATTGGTCTTAGAAATGAAAACTTTGCTTCGATACTACCTATAAATTGTTTTTAAAAAAATCAACACTTATCACATATGACTAAACCAGGGTTTTTCAAACTGCAGTTTATGACCCATACTATACAGCATTTTCTGTACGAGAACTTAGAATAGCACCAAATAGAAATGAAATCAGACAGCATTACACACAGTAAGGGCAAGAATTGAATCATAAGCTTTTTGCAGCTGTTAAAATATACATCTGCATGTCTCCTGGTTGTTGTGAAACATGGATTTCTTAGGGTGAGTCAGTCAAAAATGTTTAGAAAACACTGCTCTATACCAGTATTTAAGATTTCCCATATTAATCTGGAAAATAGTTTAATTTTGCTTTTTATAAACTTTACTAAAGCATACAATAACCAAAAAAAACAAATCACTGCCATTGAGTAGGATCCGACTCATAGCAACCCTTCCTTGGGTTTCCAAGGCAGTATCACTACGGAAGTAGATTGCCAAACCTTCCTTCTGAGGAGTGGCTGGTGGGTTTGAACCACCAGCCTTCTGATAGAGGGCAAAATATTATTAGCTGAAATTTGGTGATGATTAAACATTTAAAAATATAGCCCAAATATACAACAAAACAAAATCTCACTGTCATAGAGTCAACTTCAACTCATAGTGACCCCTACTGGGTTTCCAAGGCTGTAAATCTTTATAGAAGCAGACTGCCTCATCTTTCTTCTGCAGAGTAGCTCTTGAGTTAGAACCACCAAAGTTTGGGTTAGCAGCCAAATGCCTTTACCACTACACCACTAGAGCTCCTATCCCAAATATACTCACTGCCGTCAAGTCAGATCCAACTCATAGTGACCCCCTACTTGGGTTTCTGAGGTGGTATCTCTGTGGAAGTAGATTGCCAAAACTTTTCCTTCTGAGGAATAGCTGATAGGTTTGTACCACTAGCCTTCTGGTTAGCAGTCAAATGCCTTAGGCACTACACCACCCAAATATAGTTCCCATCCCAAATATAGAAGGTAATATATGAAATGGTAAAGGGTTATGGAGTTTAAAAGAAAAGACATTGTGTATTTCTGTCTGGCATTGGAAAAACAGGAAACATGAATACGGAATTTTCTTTATTAGATGTTTCAATACCAGAAAAGGCAACCTAGCGTGGTAAATAGATCACTGGCTTCAGAACCTGATAGACCATGGAAAGAATCCCAGCTCTGTGTTTAACTACGTAAGTAACCTTCAACAGTTAGCCTCTCTGATTAGGTTCTCTCATATTTCACAAGGTCTTCAGGATTGAATGAAAGGAAGTACTTAGTGTAGTGCCTCGCATATTAGGTATTCAAAAGTAATATACCTTCTCTGTCATCATTCCAAAATTTATAGAAAGTCAAATTTATCACACAGAGACAGATAACCTTAAAGCTTATCTTGTCCCCCAACTATATTCATCTTCACCCTTTCATACCTTGAAGATAAACCAGATAGGGCTCTCTTGAGAATTTCAGGGGTTCTATCTGTGGATGGTGGAATTTCTGGAATGTCAGAGTCTGTTCTGGAATCCAAATCTCCATATCTGTCATCAATATCTGTTTCCTGAAAGAAAAGAAAAATCATTTTTCAAAATAATAATAATAATAAAGCACATGCTTGCCAAAGCACTTATTTATTATTAACTGTGTCAAACTTCTGTTACATAAACTAAAACAAAGAAACAGCTACAGGTGATCATCATCTAAGCACTGTTGTATTTCCTTGGTTGGAAACTTTGATTATCTTTGGTAATATCTATTAACACAAAGAGCTGATTTAAACAAAAGGCACACAAAAAACTCTTATATACCAGAGGAGTGCCCCTGTACCTACCTGGCAGCTGGTGAAACCTTGCACTCTATTCCCAGTGCTGTGCCACTTTTTTTGTTTCTTTATTCTCAGTTCTTTTCTATTTTCCTCCTTTCTTTTCTTCTTCTTTTTTTTTTTTCCTTCCTTTCCCCCACCATTTTATTTCCCATCAATGGGGAGTCAGTGCCTCTACCAAGCCATACTCACCACATTTGCAGCCTGACTCACCCACCAATTGCACCACTGGATTGACAACAAAGACAGCAGCCCATACCCACCCAGCCTGCCTGCAGGTACTTTATGCAACCACCAATCAGGGACAAGCACCCACACTCCCATCCACTATCAAAATGAACCCACAGACAGGTGGTGAGTGCCTCAGCTGCCAAACTAGCAACCAGAGTAGCACACCTGCCCTCTTGGCCAGATATACTAAAAGAAAACAGAAAATTAGGGTAAAGTAATCAAATATACAATCAACAAATAAATACCATAATATCAAAATGTTTTGGAGAAAACAGACAACTTGAAATCACACATACACACACACACACACAAACAGGACAAGATGGTTCAATCAAGTGAGCAATATATAGGATCAGAAGATCTGTAGGCAGAAATGGTAATGGAATTACTTGGCTCCGAATTCAAAAGAATCATAGTTAGGGCCCTTCAACAGATTAAGAAACTCATCAGGGAAAACATGATACAAAGGAGATAATAGATAGAATTAAGGCAAACACAGATAAACTTGAGAACTTAGGAAATCAATGCAAGAACAAATTGACAAAATAAATGGAAAATTAGTAAACACACAAAAACAGCAAACAGAAATCCAAAATACTAATACTAAAATTTCTGAAATAGATAATGCACTGGAAGGACAAAGGGATAGATCTGAATCAATGGAAGACAGAATTTGCAAAATTGAAGACAAATTTCTTAACGATAATTTGTTAGAGAAACAATCAGAAAAAAAAAGAACAAAAAATATAAAGAAAGCCTAAGAATTATATGGAGCATAATCAAGACGAATAACTTACATGTGATTGGAATTCCAGAACAAAAAGAGACCCAAAAAAGCACCAAGAAAATTGCCAGAGAATTTTTGGAAGAAAATGTCCCTTATGTCATAAAAATTGAGAAGATATGCATTCAAGAAGCTTAGCATACCCCACACAGTATAGATCCCAAAAGAAAATCACTAAGACTTATTATAATCTAAACTTTCCAAAAACCAAAGACAAAGAATCCTGAAAGTAGCTTGGGAAAAATGAAAAGTTACCTACAAAGGAGAATCAGAACCAGTAAGACTAAGCTCTGATTTCTTGGTAGAAACCATACAGATGAGAAGGCAATGGGATGACATATATAAAATCCAGAAAGACAAATATTCCCAACTGAAAATTATGTATCTAGCAAAAAAAAAAAAAAAAGGGCCCTCAAATAAGTTGGCAAAATTAGAATACTTCCAGATAAACAGAAATTATGGAAATTTGTGAAAAACAGATCAATCTTACAAGAAGTGCTAAAGGGATTCCTTCAGCTAGAACAACACAGCAGACAAGAGACAACAACCTGAGATTAAGACACACAGTAACAGCACCCATAAATTAACCCAGATATGTTTTTGTTGTTATGTGCCGTTGAGTCAGACTCGACTCATAGCAACCCCTCCTCGGGTTTCTGAGGCAGTATATAGAAGTATCAAAAATAAAATAAACCTATAAGAATTAAAATAGGGAACCAGAAACATAAATTTTAAATGACTATAACTACAAAACAAAAAGAGGGAATACATAGTGTAGTAAAAGAACTTCTAAATGGATAAGAATCAAGATGATATCAAAATAGAACAGACTGTTTTAAACTTGGGAGGATAATAATAAATTACAGGGTAACGTCAAAGAAAATTAATATACCTTCTCACCAAAATAAAAAAGAAGAAAATCATAAGACTCAGTAAAAACTAAAATAACAGCAATGAAGGAAATGATAAGAATATCCATAAACAAAATGAACTTAGCACAGAAAAAAATACAGAAAGAAGAAACCATCAGCAACACACACACACAATCACTACAGCAAAATGACAGCAGTGAATCCATACCTATCGATAATTACACAGAATGTAAATGGAATTAGATACACCAATCAAGAGACAAAGAGTGGCAGAATGGATGACCCATCAATATGCTGTCTGCAAGAAGTATACCTTAGACACAAAGACAAAAATGAGCTGAAAATCAAAGGGTGGAAAAACATCTACCAAGCAAATGGCAACCAAAAATAGCAGGAGTGGCAATATTAATTTCTGACAAAACATACCTTATGGCAAAAGCCAGTAAAACAGAAAAAGAAAGATTATATATAATGATTAAAGGGTAAATCCAACGAGAAGACATATGGTAAAATAAATTACACACACAATAACAGGGCCCTAGTACATCAATCACTATTGGCAGATGATATCATTCTATATATACAAAATCCCAGAGACTCAACAAAACTACTGTAATACAGATTCAGCAAAGTGGCAAAGTCCAAGATTAACATACGAAAGTCAGTCAGATTCCTCTACACTAACAAAGAGAACTCTGAAAAGGAAATCAGGAAAACAACAGCATTTACAATAGCTTTCAGTCTTACCCTCTCTCATCCACTTTGCCCAGTCCAGTCAAAAGAATCTTTCCAAATTGTGAATTTGATCATGACACTCCCCTACTTAAAACCATCAGGATAAAGTCACACTACTTAAGATTGCTTTCTGTTGTATTTCATGATGGAACTTTGTTTTGGTTCTCTCTAGCACCGCTCTCTAACAGAAAAAACCACAAGTAGATGGCACCAACAAATAGGGATGTATTCTCTCACAGTTTAGAAGGCTAGAAGTCTGAGCTCAAAGTGCCAGCTCTAGGGGCTGAGTGAAGGCCCCTCAACCTTGGGCTTCAGCTCTGCCTCTTGTGCCCAGCCCACTGAAGGTACAGGCTTCTCTTAACTCAGGCAGCTGCTGGCTGCTGAGGTTGACAAACCCAAGGTCAACAAGTGAAATGGCACAGTCCCAAGGTTATTAAGCAATATAGCAGGCCACTAGTTCAAGTCCAGAAACAATACCAAGATCACCAGACAACATGGCAGGCTGCTGAATGAAAACTTGGCTACATGGAGGTTCCAAGTGCACCAAAAATCTCTGAGACCCTTCTCAATGCTTCTCATTATATACTGGAAGCAGACCACATCTCTAAGGCAGCTACTCAGCTGCTCCAGTGGCTTCCACCATGGAGCTGATTACCAATCTCATCATGGGGAATAACTACATCCAGCTGTCCAGCCACTCAAAACCAGGTCCAGCCAAGTTGACACACAGCCTTAACTACCATGGACCTATTCTTCTGTCCTCTCTTTGTTGACTCCCTAGTGTTTACACAGTGACATTCTCTCTCTGGCCTCTGGATGCATATTCTATGGATAAAGTATAAAATGGGAATTCTCTCTTCCCTATATCCACAGTTTGAAACCTCCCTTCTTCATTCCTCAAAATTGGCTACTGTGTAGTCATCCTCTGACCTCAGCTTCAATGTCATTTCACTGTACACCCCTAATCCTCAGTGCCATGTTAGTGATATTTCAACTGTTTTTCCACAAGTCTCCTTATTTTACCTATAAATTCCCATTAAAATTATCTGCTTGCTTGCCTTCTAGTTTCATGGCTATTCATAAAGTTTTCCAGGAAAATATCAGACAGTGTTTCACTCTATTCATAAGGTTTTCAGTGACCAGTTTTTTCAGAAGGGAATGGCCTCGTCCTTTTTCCCAGTCTGTCTTCCTTTGGAAGCTCTGCTGAGACCTGTCCACCATAGATGACCCAGCTGATATTTGAAATACTGGTGGTATAGCTTCTAGCCTCACAGCAATACACAAGCTATAACAGTATGGCAAACTGACAGGTGAATGGTAGAAGACCACCATTATTCAACTTTACACACCAACTACTAAAGCCAAACATGAAGAAATTGAAGACTTTTACCAGCTTCTTCAGTCTGAAATTGACCAAACATGCAATCAATATGTATTGATGATTACTAGAGACTGGAATGCAAAATTTGGAAACAAAGAATCATCAGTAGTTGCAAAATACAGCCTTGGTCATATAAATTATGCCAGAGATTGCAAGACAGAATTTTGCAAGACCAATGACTTATTTATTGCAAATACCTTTTACCAAAAACATAAACAATGGCTATACATGTGGACCTCACCAGATGGAATACACAGAAATCAGATCAACTACATCTGTGGAAAGAGGTGATGGAGAAGCTCAATATCATCAATCAAAACAAGGCCAAGAGATGCCTGTGGAACAGATCATCAATTGCTTAAACGCAAATTCAAGCTGAAGCTAGAGAAAATTAAAATAAGGGCACAAGAGCCAAAATACAATCTTGATTATATCCCACCTGAATTTAGAGACCACCTGAAGAATAGATTTGACATATTAAACACCAACGACTGAAGACCAGATGAGCTGTGGGGTGACATCAAGAATACCATAATGAAGAAAGCAAAGAGTCATTTAAAAGACAGTAATGGAAGAAAAGATCAAAACGAATGTCAGGAGAGACACTGAAACTTGCTCTTGAATGTAGAGTAGCTAAAGTGAATGAAAGTAATGCTGAAATAAAAGAACTGAACAGGATTTCAAAGGGCAGCTTGAGATAACAAAGTCATTTATTAAAATAAAATGTGCAAAGACT